CACACACACACACACACACACACACACACACACACACACACACACACACACCGCCCCCGTGCTGTGAGGTGTATCCAAATTTCTAGTCACTATCTCTCTCATGTCATGTTTTGGTCGATAGATAACCGCAGTATAAATCACTGGGCCTGGGATTCAATAAACAACAACGATAGTAATGACAAAGGGCACTCAACCCCATGCTAGGTGTGAACTTTTTTTTATCTCAAGTCACAAGTCTCCTACAGTCAAAAAAGAGATAATATTATTATTACCTGTTCGTTTGTCGTATGCAGTTCGAGGTATACATTAACTCTTTTACTGCTGAGCCGTAAATTTACTCAAAACCACGAGATACAGCCGTTAGGAAGAGCGAACGAAATCATGTTAATCCCTTGAGTTCGCACACTCTGGTCATTCGGCTGGTGCGCCCGTTTTTGCCCCACACCTTCGTTTCACTCCCCGTTTTCGTCCCACTTTTGCTCAGTCACAGTTCTGCCCGTTCTCGTCCCATATTTATTGCAATAAAATGTCATCAATTATCATTCGGTACCTATATGACTCTCTCTATCTATCAATTTTCTATTTTTAAAAAACTACGCATTAAGCTGGTATTCCATATGCCCGAAAAACCGATGCGAACTTCGGGTGCGATGAAAAAAAGAGCCCTCCTTCCATATACCCGAAATTCATATTCGTCATTTCTGACTGAAATCATGGCACCGGTTCAGTCAAAGCAAGCACTCTACGTTGAAAACGAGAGAATTTTGCTGTTAGAACTCTGTTCATTTGAAAGCAGAAATGTGGCGCAATGAGAAAGCATTGATTTTGGGTGAATAGTATTTTGCAGTTAAGACAGCAGCATGGTGCTTACGACAACTTTGTTAAAGAGCTTGGCCTTAATAGAGATCTCTTCAAGAAACACACGCGACTAACAAGGGAGCAATTTGCCCAAGTACTGTACCTGGTAGAAGGGGACCTTGTCAAACACGGCGTCTGTCGAGAGGTGATATGCCCAAGAGAACGTTTGGCGATATATATGCATCAGGAACTTGGGCTACTCTCTCTCTCTCTCTCTCTCTCTCTCTCTCT